TGGTACGCACAACACCAAGAGAGAACCCTAATGTAAACTAGGGACTTTGGGTGATTATGATGTGTCAGTGTAGGTACAATTGTGATGGTAAAGAATGCATTACTCTGGTGATCTGATGTTGATCATGGTGGGGGGGGGTGGATGTGTGGGGGCAGGGGTCTATTGGAAATCTCTGTACCCCCCTCTCAATTTTGCTCCAAAAACCTAAAATGGCTCTAAAAAAATTAAGTCTATAAACAAAACAAAACAAAACAAAACCTAGTTGGGGAGAAATGAACATAAATGCATCTCTTTGAAGCCAAATACCAAACTAACGACCGTTCTAATTCTAGCACCATGATGCCTTTTATAGGATTTAAAGTTTCCTCAAACTACTGTGTTTTAGTTTCTTTCTTGTTACAAAGAGAAGGGGCCATATTTCATTAAAAAGAGACCTCCTTATAAATTACAAAACACTCGTTTGTAACCAGAGATCTTTAGGTCTTAGCAATTATTCTTGAAAGATAGTGACTTCTTCTATGATGGCCAGGCTTGTTCTTCTTGATCAAATAACTTTTTTTTTTTAATGTTTATTTTCGAGAGAGAGACACACACACACACACACACACACACACACACACACACACAGTGTGGGTAGGGGAGGGGCAGACAGGGAGACACAGAATCAAAGCAGGCTCCAGGCTCTGAGGTGTCAGCACAGAGGCCGACATGGGGCACGAACCCACCAACCACAAGATCATGACCTGAGCTGAAGTTGGACGTTTAATCGACTGAGCTACCCGAGCGCCCCTTGAAATAACTCTTAAGGTACAAGCAGTTCAGCGGCAACCTGTAGTTAGCAGCTTCTATTTTTACAGCCATAACTAAAAACTCGAGGAACATACACCAAAATGGCCCATGGATCTAACAGCACACTTCAACTGCAGGACAGAAATATTATAGCACCTACCTGGCCGTACAGATGATAATCAAATTCATAGATCTTGTTGAATTTAGACAATCCTTCCCTCTATAACACAAAACAAGAATAAATAAGTTACATTGAAAACAAATGACTCCTCGGCCTAAAGATCAAGCAGAACCTTGATAAGTGGTCATACTGAAAAATAACAGTATTTCCTAAAGATAAAAACTAGGCTAAATTACTAAGGCCAGTTATCAAGAGGATCCTCAAAACAGTTACGAGCACATGCTTGGTACAGTCCATGGAGTTTTTATGCCAGAAGGTAACCCTGAGGTCAGCTAATATAACGACGAATAGATGAGCCTGGACGAGTCCAAGGTCACGTCACAAATTAGAGGCAGAGAAAGGATTAAGACAGAATTCTCTTGCCCACTTTCTCCCTCTTCCCCATATCCTTCTACTACTTTTTGGCTGTACAACCGCACCTGTAAAACTGCTGGGCACAGGCAAATCACTCGCCTTTCTGAACATCAATTTATTTTTGAATAAAGTTACCTCTAAGTGCTCCTCTGGCTCTAAAATCCAGTAACACTACAAGCCCCAGTCAGCACTGGAAGCCAGTCTATAAAGCAATTCTTTAGCTGCGAGCATGGACGAATCAGACCCTCTCTGAATAGATCCCACCGTCCTCCACAGCAGCATTAAAAGTACTTTTACAGGGGGGCGCCTGGGTGGCTCAGTTGGTTGGGCGGCCGACTTCGGCTCAGGTCATGATCTCACGGTCCGTGGGTTCGAGCCCCGCGTCGGGCTCTGTGCTGACAGCTCAGAGCCTGGAGCCTGTTTCAGATTCTGTGTCTCCCTCTCTCTGACCCTCCCCCGTTCATGTTCTGTCTCTTTCTGTCTCAAAAATAAATAAACGTTAAAAAAAAAAAAAGTACTTTTACAGGTGCGTTTCCCCAGTCCAGTCCCAAGTGACTCCTGAGGGGCACACCCATTGTCCCTTGTGTCTCTTGGGAACAGTCTAAAACCACCGTTCTGATCCTCTCCAGGTAAATAACTTGTCTGATAACATGTGTGTGATCCCACAACCAGAGCTCCAGCAGGCAGTCTCCTCTACCAGTGGTAGCCTCGAGGATGTGAAATGTCTTTCCTGACATTTCAAACTTGCGCCCCTGTAATTCCCATTTTGGGGTGGCACACAATTATGTGTGATCCCATGTGTGGGCGAGGTGCTCAGGGAAACTGGATACCCCAAACTTAGAGCAGTTTCGGAGTCTGGGGAAAGAAAAAACACCCGGTTGATAGATCAAGAATGTAGCTTTTGTGATCTCTCCTTCTCTTTTTATTTTAGAGAGAGAGCATGTGAGCGGGGGAGAGGGGCAGAGAGAGAGGGAGAGAGAAAGAATCCCAAGCAAGCTCCAGGCTCAGCGCAGGACCCTGACGCGGGGCTCGATCCCACGACCCTGGGATCATGACCTGAGCCAAAGAAATCAAGAGTCAGATGCTCAATCAACTGAGTTACCCAGGAGCCCCTGCTTTTGTGATCTTTTTTGCAGTGCTGTCCACTCTAAAAAAAAAAAAAAAAAAAAAAAAAAAAAAATACAAGTCCCTTCTCTAAGTAATCTGTAGGAACTCCCATACTGCTGCCACTAAATCTACAGAATTCTTTAAGATGCATCTTTCTGAATATAAAAATAAAACCATGAAAAAAACTACCCAGATAAAGAAGGTCGCAGTTTCCAGTGTGCTTTTGAATGCTATTGTAAATGGAATTGTTTTTTTTTTTTTAATTTTCTTTCCAGATTGTTCATTGCTACTGATTTGTGTACGTTGATCTTGTATCCCATAACTTGGCTGAACATATTTATTAGCACCAATGGTTCTTTGTGGCTCCTTTAGGATTTCTATTCTGTAAGATCACGAAGGGGATTACATTTTTATCAAATGTTTGTTCTGCACCAATTGAGATAAGCAATGTGGGTTTTAAGTGGGAGATTACTGGAGTCACACTTGTGTTTTATAAAGTCACTTTGGCTGCCCAGAATTTGAATAGTGAAAGGTTAGGGAGAAAGCTATCAGAGTTCTCCCTGTGAGGGGCCAGAGGTCTGAACTCTACAGACACAACCTCAGCTCTTGCTCCCACTCTCCACGAGCTAGAAATGGAGGTCTAAGGACCTTGAGATCTTGAAAGAAGAAAAGAGCAGGGAACTTCTGCTTTCTGCCTCCAGAAAACCATTTCGCAATCCACTTTTATTTGACAGATTTTCCTGATCAGTTCTTATCATCTCCATGCCACCTGTTTTACAAATTCTTTTACCTTTCCCTTCCTTTGCACCTCCAGTGTGTCCAGAACAAATTTTCATCCCTTACTTGCCTGTCTCTCGGGAGTGACTTTGTACTAGTAGGAATAGGGCAGCTGTTCCCTCTAATCCCATAGCCTAGGTAGTACCGCCCTCTTAATACGCGTTTACAGACTGTAAAGCCAGTGGGGCCGCAGAACCCAGGGGATGCGCAGTTGATGGGGAGAGCCAGGTTAGCTGGGAATGCTGGGACAGGGCTTGACCGCCAAGTTAAAGTGCTGTGAACAGGGGTTCCCAATAACTTAAAATTTCAAATCACAGGGAATACTGTTAAGACACAGCCTTCCCTGGTCTCACCCCAAACCCACAGAATAGCCAGTGTCCCAGCTAGTACCGATTATCAGACTAGTTTGGGAACCGCGGCTGTGCGCAAGGAGGAGCCAAGGTTTTCAAGCACATGGGTGAAGCGTCTTCGCTTTTAAATGCCTACCAGTCCGAAAAGACAGGAAGCCACTGCAATGACCCAGCAGTGGGAGAAGCGGCCTCCGTCTGTATTCCCAGCGCTCGCCGCGCTGTCTCGCTGGGTGATAGGGACAGCTCCCTCACCCGCACAGCTGATCGGAAATACGCCTCCTTACCCGCCTCATGCGACCGTTGGACAGCAGGTCGGCGATCCCCTTGGCCGCGTCGTTCTTCTCGGCCACACACAGAATTTTCCGCACGCCTCGCAAGGCCACCTCCATGGCAGCGCGGGACAAGGTCCTGGCTCTCGGCCGTTGCAGCCAGCGGAGAGCGCAGCGGGCGACAGGGAAGATCATCCCTAGGCCCCGCGCCCGCTGCCGCCCGCCGGGTGCCCAAGCATGCTGGAAAAGCCAGAGGTGACGCCCACCTGGCGTCCACCCTAAGGGAACTGGGGCCCCCGAAAGCCTCCAGCGCCACCTGCCGCGTCCCGGCCACCACCCCGAAGCCCGCGGGGCTTCGGACCCACGGCTTCGACAGGGAATCCCGCACCTAGGCGTCCGGCTTCCGCCCGCCTTCTCGGGCTACATCCGCCCGGTGCGAGCGCCACGGGACGGCGAACTACAACTCCCAGACGACCCCGCGCTCGGGACCCCTTGTGCGTTTCCGCTCCTCCGCCCCACTTCCTTTCTTTCCCGACAGTGGTTGGTAAATCGATTGTCCTTGGGAGAGGCCGCTGGAAAGTTCCGCCCAGACCTGTCGTTCGCTCACAATCGTTTTCTCTCCCGCTCGGAAGTCTACGCGGACGCTTCCGGGTCACGCGGCGCAAGACACCGCGAGTCATGTGATGCCAAGATGGCGGCGCCGCGGTAGCCTGCTCCAGGTTGTGGCGTCCAAGGAGCCGCGACGGTTTCTGCCCTCGGGCCGTGGGGGCGGCAGGGCTTGACTGGCCCCTGCGGCGGCCCGTAGTCCCGCGTTAGGCACCGGTTCAGGGCTGGGCTGTTGCTGTCGCGGTGGGTTCGGGTGTGCGAGTGACCTCGCTGCAGGTGTCCTGCGCCGGACGCCCTCGCCGGAGGAGGAGGGTAACCCGCCTACCCGGTCTTCTGGACCTGTGGAGTTCATGAGGCCCCTCGGGGCTCTGGAAGAGTTAGCTGTATCTCTGACGGGATTGTGGGAGTTCGAGCCTTCGAGTGTGCGAGAGACAGCCTAGTACCCCTGAGGGCGCAAAGAAGACCGCAAGGACTTTGCTTCCTCTTCCAGAGGCATGGCTTCCCTGCATTGATTACCCCGCATTCTTTCTCACTTCTTCTCAATGTTCTCTCCATACATCTGGAAATATGATCAGCGCCCCTGACGTGGTGGCCTTCACCAAAGAGGAGGAGTACGAGGAGGAGCCTTACAATGAGCCCGCCTTGCCCGAGGAGTACTCGGTGCCACTCTTCCCCTTCGCCAGCCAAGGAGCCAACCCATGGTCCAGACTGTCTGGGGCCAAGTTCTCTCGGGACTTCATCCTTATTTCCGAGTTCTCCGAGCAGGTGGGACCCCAACCCTTGCTGACCATCCCCAATGACACCAAAGTTTTTGGTACTTTTGATCTCAATTACTTCTCCTTGCGGATCATGTCTGTGGATTACCAGGCCTCCTTTGTGGGCCATCCCCCGGGTTCTGCCTACCCCAAGCTGAACTTTGTGGAGGACTCCAAGGTGGTGCTGGGAGACTCCAAGGAGGGAGCCTTTGCGTACGTGCACCACCTTACCCTGTACGACCTGGAGGCCCGGGGCTTTGTGAGGCCCTTTTGCATGGCTTATATCTCAGCGGACCAGCACAAAATCATGCAGCAGTTTCAGGAGCTCTCAGCCGAGTTTTCCAAAGCTTCTGAGTGCTTGAAGACGGGCAACAGGAAGGCATTTGCGGGAGAACTTGAAAAAAAGCTGAAAGACTTGGATTACACCAGGACAGTGCTGCACACCGAAACGGAGATCCAGAAGAAGGCCAACGACAAGGGCTTTTACTCATCTCAGGCAATTGAGAAAGCCAACGAGCTGGCCAGTGTGGAGAAGTCCATAATTGAACATCAAGATCTGCTGAAGCAGATCCTCTCATACCCTCATCGGAAGTCGAAGGGGTCTGCCTTGTGTTCTGCGGAGACAGAGCACGTGCAGGATCAGGCCGACCAGGTAGCCACTACCTCTAACCCTGATGAGTCGGCTGACGCGGACCTTTACACCTGCAGACCTGCCTACACCCCCAAGCTCATCAAAGCAAAGTCCACCAAGTGTTTTGACAAGAAGTTGAAGACCTTGGAAGAGCTCTGTGACACGGAGTATTTCACCCAGACCCTGGCTCAGCTCAGCCACATAGAGCACATGTTCAGAGGAGACCTGTGCTACCTCCTGACCAGCCAGATTGACAGAGCGCTTCTGAAACAACAGCACATAACAAACTTCCTCTTTGAAGATTTTGTGGAGGTGGACGACCGGATGGTAGAGAGGCAAGAGAGCGCGCCCCCTAAGCGCAGTCCAGGCAGGCCGCCTTCCAGGTCTCTGGACGAGTGTCCGATTCCTCAAGTGTTCATTAGCGTTGGTTCTTACAAGTCCAGTGTGGAGTCTGTGCCGATCAAGATGGAGCAGGAACTTGGAGATGAGGAGTACAAGGAAGTGGAGGTGACAGAATTGAGCAGTTCTGACCCCCAGGAAAACTTGGACTGCCTGGATATGGATATGAAAGGGAGCATCAGCAGTGGCGAAAGCATCGAGGTTCTGGGCACGGAGAAGTCCACCTCTGTGCTGTCTAAGTCTGACAGCCAGGCCAGCCTCACGGTGCCATTGAGCCCCCAGGTGGTCCGGAGCAAAGCGGTCAGCCACAGGACCATCAGCGAGGACAGCATCGAAGTCCTCAGCACCTGCCCCTCTGAGGCCCTCATCCCTGATGACTTTAAGGCCAGCTACCCAAGTGCCATTAACGAAGAAGAGTCGTACGCAGATGACAGCGAGGGAGCCATCCACTTCCAGGCGAGCATCAGCCCGCCAGAGCTGGGTGAGGCAGAGGAGGGCAGCTTAGAAAACACCCTGTCCCAAACGGACTCCTCCTGCTGCATTGGGAAGGAGAGTGACAGTCTGCGGGTGCCCCTCTCCACCCCAGCCCACACACACTCTGACCCGGACGGAGTAGTGAGCAGCCCCCCGCAGCGCTACAGGCAGAAAGACCAGGGGTTCCATGTGGACTTTGCGGGGGAAAACGCCAGCCCTTCCCGAGACAACAGTTCTGAAGGCTTCCCTGCTTTTGAGCTGGACCCGAGCCGCCTGCTGGCTAGCCGGGATGTCAGTAAGACCAGCCTGGACAACTACTCGGACACTACCAGTAATATGAGCAGTATAGCCTCCACCAGCTCAGACAGGACTCCCTCCTCTGCTCATCCCACCGGGCCCTCTTCTGAGAGGCATAAAAAGAGGGCTGGCCAGAACGCCTTAAAATTCATCCGTCAGTACCCCTTTGCCCATCCAGCCATCTACTCCCTGCTCAGCGGGAGGACCCTTGTGGTCCTGGGGGAGGATGAGGCCATAGTGAGGAAGCTCGTGACGGCGCTGTCCATCTTTGTCCCCAACCACAGCCGTCACGCCAAACCGGTGAAGCACTGGGTCTCCTCTCCTTTGCACATCACAGATTTTCAGAAGTGGAAGCTGATCGGCCTGCAGAGGTAACTGTTTACCGGGGGTGGGGAAGGGCCCTGTCCAGTCAGAGACGAGGTTTTGAACGTCCATCCCTCTGGGTGAGGTTAACACGTCTGCGTGGTGGGGCCAGAATCGGGAGACCTGGCTTCCAGACCGGACCCCCAACACTCACTCTGTAACTTTAGGCACGTCCTTCCGTTTCTCTGGTCTTCTCTTTCCTTGTCCCTCCCATGAGGGGTTGCAGTTCCTAAGTGGTTGCCAGCTGAGGTCTGCAACCTGTCGGGTCAGAATTATTTAGGGGAATTTGTTTAGACCGTGAATTTCTGGGCCCTATCCCCCAAGAGATTCTGACTCAGTAGGACATGGAGTTCATCTGGTATACAGCAAGCGTTGGGGGACGGCTGACTTCCAGATCTCAGGCTCTTGGTGATCCTCAAATTCACACTATGGTATAAATGATTGAGAGACCTGCTTCTGAGAAAGGTCTGTGGTATTCCTAGAAGATGGCAGCCATCACTGGTGACAGGGACATCAGAGGGGTCCAGTGGCTTTTACTCCACTGTCCTGTTCACCCTAGAAGGCTGTTCCCCCCCGCCCCCCAACTTAGAAGTCTGTCTTAATGAGGAAACGCAAGGGGCACTTGGGTGGCTCAGTTGGTTAAGTGTCTGACTTTGCCTCAGGTCGTGATCTCATGGTGGTTCGAAAGTTCCTGCCCTGCTTCGGGCTCTGTGCTGACAGCTCAGAGCCTGGAGCCTTCTTCGGAGTCTGTGTCTCCCTCTACTCTCTGCCCCTCCCCTGCTCATGCGCGCTCTTTCTCTCTCTCTCTCTTTTTCTGTCTCTCAAAAATGAATAAACATTAAAAAAAATTTTTTTTTAAATAATAAGGAAATGCAAGGCCCAATTCCTACTTTCTCTGTTTGAATGCTCTTTCATTTCTCCAAGTTACTGGAGGTTTAGCAGACTCTCTTTTGTTTTTTTCCAAATACTGCTTGACAGGTTGTCTGGTTTAAGGGTCTCTTTCCCTCAGGGTGTGCCCTCATCCTCTTCCCAGCGGCCCACTTTGGACATCTGTAAAACAGAGGCGCTGACGCAGGCAGCCTGCACCTCCCATGTCACATGGAAAGAGCAAAAGGAATTTCTGCCCCGCTGCAGTCAGCAACCGTTTGTTCTGATTTTCCGTCTTGCCTTTTGCTGAGGTCCTCGGTATCAGTGAGGTCGCCGTGTCCCGAGTTGCCCTGTTCGCTCCTCTTGCAGAAGTTACCCGGCCCTCACTCTAACCCTTGCTGCGTTAGGCTTTCCCCAGGGTCGTGGTGCCGAGATTCAAGCAAGTGTTGTTTCCCCGTCTTGACTTGGCTCGTTGGCCACGCTGGCGGGTGCTGGGGTACCATCTGGGGGTACCTGAGCAAGGACGCTGCCCTGGAAGACTTCGTAGTTCAGGAGCAGAGACGGATGGCCAGAGCCTTGCTGAACAGGGAGGAGAGTTCCAACAGCAAGTGCATTGTGTGTTATAAGAAAACCAACGGGGCAGGTTAGTGAAGTGTGGGAAATGAGGGACAGAGGTGCTTGGGGAAGGCTTGAGGTGTTTGGCTTGAGTGACCAGGAGGGTGGGCTTGCCAGCGTGTCATGGGGACTTGGTATGACATGGCCAAGACACCTGGAACAGTCCCCTCCTTGGGCCACACAGGAAACCACCGAGTTGAGTCCTTGCTTGTGGATGCAGAATCAGGAGTTAGAGGGCTGCACTGGGTGCCCTTGTGGGCTTTGTCCTCCCTCTCGGGATCCCGTCCCTCGGCTGATGCCAGCCCTATGCTCGGGTTTAACCCATCTGTTGCAGGAAGGGAAGGACTTTTCATGGATTGTCTTTGCTACTTGTCTTGGTGGAATAACGCGTCGGTGTCCCTTAAACACACCTCTTCTCCAACTGACCCCTTCACCCCAACCTTTGACCTTTCCACTTATTCACCTCTAAAGATGGAGAATCTAAAACACACATCAATCTATTGACGGCCCGCTTATCCAGGGCCAGGTTCAGGACAGTGTCGTCCTTTCTGCTTTCCCTGAAATTCCCTCCTTAGAATGTGCCAGAACGGCAAAAGAAGTTCATCTCTTACACCAGCTCTGCTCTCTTGGGTACCTGGCTGGAGTGCTGTGTTGAGGATTCTGAGGCCTAGGCTGGTCTGCCTTGGAACACCTGCTATGATCCAGTAATGAAGTCTGTGGGTGCGAGAGAGTAGCTGGCGGACGGGCTCCCCGAGGTGCAAAGGGTTCGAGTTGGTCTGAGTCCCGGGCTGGCCCTACCAGTATTTAGCCACAGGTCACTCCACGCGAGGCTCTGTTCCCTCCTGAGCAAATGAGAGGGTTGGATCACTGAATGACCATTTGCCAAAAGTTTATAGGCGGCTATTAAATGCCGGCCACCCGGCCTGCTGCCAGAATTGTGAGTCAGCCATGGTGCATCCCCGTGATAGGACAGGCGCTGTCTTCATGGGGCCCCCCACGCCAGCCCCAGCTCTGTCACCACTCTGTCAGCCTGACCTCTGAGCCTGTTTGTATCTGCACACGGAGCTGACGAGACCTGCGTCGTGAGAGCAGGTGTGGAAGGGCTCATCGCATCTGGTCTGTACCTGATCACTGTGAGCCTTTCTCGGATAACCTCGCAGGGGCACGTACCGACTCACGGCAGGCGGGCCAAGGCAGCGGCCGCTGAGCGTGGCCCTCCCCGGCCAGGCTCTAGAGCCTTTCAGCATCCCTCTGTGAAGGCGAGGGACCCATCAGAAGTGACAGGCGAGAGCTTTGCAGACATTCCCTAGGGGGGAAGTGCCTCCCATTGCTCTGCTTCTCAGACCTTCTGGGCGTGCGCACACGCTGGGAATTGGCAGTGTCTGCCTCCAGAGGGTCCCGCTCTGGAACGAGATACGGTGGGCAGGGGTCGGAGGCCTTGTTCCCTAGGGGGCACGTCACGGGAGTGGGGACTGGTTTGGCCACCGCTCACCCAAAGAAACCCTGGGAGGTGAGCAGTCGACCCAGTATGAATTCCGAGCATGAAATTCTCATTCTCATTCTGAGATGAAAACCCGAGGAGTCGTGGTTCCTTGTGGTTAGGGAGGGACACAGTGGGCGCTGTGAGCTCAGGTCCTGACGCTGCCACTATCCGCCGTGGGAATTTGGGCCAGTCTTCTCGTTCGTTCGCAAAGCTTGTCGGACACGTCTGTGAGTGGGGCTTAAGATGTTTACCGTGTGCAGTTGTGGGGAAGGTGCACATCCGGAATGTCGCAGAGCCCCCGGGTGGAGCCTGTCCTTGGACACGCTCAGAGTTGCGGAGAGGTGGTGAGTCAGCCCAGCAGGCAGAAGCAGTCTTCAAACTGCGAGGCAGATTGAGGCCCGTCTGAGGGCCAGCATTCAAGAGGAGTAGTAGAAGAGTGGCCATGAAGTTCCTGCCCAGGGATGGGCTGCTCAGCAATGGCAGGGGTTGATCCCCCCCCCGTGCTGGGTTAATCTGGAATCCGAGAACTCTGACCCAGGAGGGTCTGTCCCCTCTCAGGTGCTTTGACTCCAGCCAAAATCAGCTCAGATGATAATCTGTTTTTAAAGACTCTCACCCCAAAACTGCCGGTTTCACTGCCCTTGGATTTTTTTTCCACTGAAGTAGGCTTTCTGCCTGGAAATGCTCATCTGTCAGATCTATCACACGTGGGTATGAGAGATGGGTAAATACTCATGGGTACCAACTCATGTTGGTTTCCCATTTGAAATCAAAATGAGGGATAATTGTATTGCTTCCAGGTAGCAGGAACAAGCGCTGGACTGTTTGAAAAACAGCTCAGTTCTCATGGGAGAGAGTGCTAGTTGTGGGGCGTGGAGGGGCGGGTAGAGGCCCTGGTTGCGTCCTGACTCAGCCACTTTCTAGCTGGGGGACCTTGCGTGAGCCACGGCCCCTCTCTGGGCTTCAGTGTCCACATGTGTCCAGAGGCTGCCTCCGGTGTTGGGATGGGCGGTAATGAACCTAAGACAGGTGTGGGAGGAGCAGAGGACCAAAGGCCTGGGGCTTGCCTCTTTCCGTGCTAGCTCGCCTCCTGACGAGCTTCGTGGCAAACAGGTGGAGGGAGAGTTAGAAGGAGCAGCATCTTCTGAAAAAGTGGTGCCTCTGTAGGTAGGGGTAGGTGGGGGGGTGTCAGAGCTCCTGGGAGTGGCAGGGCCGAGGCAGGGTGTTCCAGCAGGACAGGTGGCTGGAACGGAGGGACAGGAGGACGGGGCGAGGCCTGGCTTTTCTGCTGCGGCAGAACCTCGGGGGGCCGGATGTGCCATGGCTGAGGAGGCATTTGGCCTGCGGCCTGGGCCCCCTTCCGAGGGAGGTAAGGGTGCCTCAGGAGTGGACTGAGAAGGTGGTGTCCCCGAGAAGCCAGTGAGCCACCTGCAAGCCCTGCTTCTTCATCGCCTATGTGATGGGGTCCCCAGCCCACTGCTCTCCTCGTGGTTTTCACGACACATGGCCCATGTGGCTCTGTTTTCCCGTCTCTGTGGTCCTGTTCTTGTATGGTCTGGATGCCCCCTGAGGTTCTCGGAGCCCACCTTTCTTGTAAGGCCCAGCTCCGAGGCCGTTCTTCCAGGATTTTCCTGGCCCCGGGCCTCCCCGTGGAGACCCAGACCACATCTCTACTCAGTGTACCCACCATGTGCCTGTGCTTTCTTCCCAGCCTGACCAGGCTCATTCTTCGTTGCCTGTTCAGCCCCTAGGTCACTGCCTGGTATGTAGTAGATGCTGTTAACTACACGAGAAGATGACAGCACCCAGGAAGGAAAAAATAGGTTACCTTGGTCCCGAGTGATTGTCAGTCCTTTGTCCACAGTATCTCAGGTCTGGCACAAGCCCTGAATTCCAGAACTGTGTCCGCCTATGAAATTTCTGGTCAGCCAGACATTTGCCAGACTGCAGGGTGACTCTCTGGGAAAATTCAACTAGAGGATTTTTTTTTTTTTTTTTACATTTATTTATTTTTTGAGAGACACAGAGAGACAGAATACAAGTTGGGGAGGGGCAGAGAGAGAAGGAGACACAGAATCCAAAGCAGGCTCCAGGCTCCGAGCTGTCAGCACAGAGCCCGACGCAGGGCTCGAACTCACAAACTGTGAGATCATGAGCCAAAACCAAGAGTCGGATGCTTAATTGACTGAGCCCCCCAGGCGCCCCTGATCTAGAGGATTGTACAGAGCTACTAGGGTTGATCACTCTGACCCCTTCCCTCACTGAACAAGCCCTGCCTGCCTCTGATGTATGGGCACAGTAGTGGGCAGTGGGGCAGGAAGCCAAATCAGATGGTCCTGGGTCTGCAGAAGCCTTGTCCAGTGGGAGAGACTAGAGCTAAATGGCAGTCCCCACGCTGATCATTGCTGGGCTGGTAATACTGAGGGCCAGGCACTCTCCTAAGCACAACCCATTTTGTCTCTGCGGTGACCGCTTGAGGCAGGACCAGTGATCTCTGTTTTACAGAGGGGGCTCTGAAGGGCTAAGGAACTTGGCCAGGGTCACAAAGCAAAAAAAGCAGGGAAGCAGAGGAGGGGATCAGGGATGGCTGAGTAAGGCTTGAATTGCCATAAACCCAAGTACCAATGGAAGGGAAGGGCATTCTGGGCAGAGCACGAAGGCCGGTGATTTTGAGGCCCTTCTGAAAGCTTGGCGTGGCCACAAGGAAGTCGTGGATGTAACAGATGGGGCCTCAGAGGCCAACAGGAAGCAGGGCCTGTCGGCCATGCCAGGGCACTTGAACTCGGTCACGAGGGTGGCGAGGAGCCCTTTGAAGAGCATCATGACCAGATTTGCCTTCCAGAAAGAGCTAGTGAGTATTGGCCGGCGGAAGCCGGCCTGGAAACGGGAAGACTCCCCCGCCCCGCCCCGAGTCTTTCCTCCTGACGTTGGCCTGTGTGTTTCAGAGTGACGTCCCCAGCCGGCGCCGGCGCCCTCCACACCCTGAGCCGCTACAGCCGCTACACGAGCATCCTGGACCTGGACAGCAAAACCCTGCGCTGCCCCCTCTACAGAGGCGCCCTGGTGCCCCGGCTGGCCGACCACCGCACTCACATCAAGCGGGGCAGCACCTACTACCTGCACGTCCAGAGCGTGCTCACCCAGCTCTGCTCCAAGGCCTTCCTCTACACCTTCTGCCACCACCTGCACCTGCCTGCCCACGACAGGGAGACCGAGGAACTGCTGGCCAGCCGCCGGGCGAGCTTCCTGAAGCTGAACCTGGGTCTGGTGAACGAAGACATGAAGGTGGTCCAGTACCTGGCTGAGCTGCTGAAGCTGCACTACGTGCAGGAGCCTCCCGGGACCGGCCACCCCACGCTCAGGTTCGACTACGTCCCCAGCTTTTTGTACAAAATCTGAGGTCAGTCCCAGCCACTGTGACCAAGACCTGTGACTCAGGGTACGGGGAGGGGAGGGGTTGGCACGAGCAGGCGGCCCTCTGAGCCGTCTAGGCTGCTGGTGACCTGAGTGGCAAGGAAACCAAGGTGGCGGCGCTGGTTCCCACGTGGCTTCAGGCGGTTTGGGAGTCGGGACTCTGGCAGAGGCGGGCGCCTGGCTCTCCGAAGGCGTCAGTAAGGACGGTACTAGGTCTCTCGGCCCCCCTGGCGAGGAGGGGGCTGCTTGGCTCCCTGAGGACTGGTAGCCAGGCCAGAAGAGAGCCAGCGCCCTTTTGACGATGCGGGGGGTGAGGGTGGGGGGCGTGAGGGGTGGAAAGGTGAAGCCCACGCGGGAGGAGCAGGCTACGCATTCAGCTCCCAGACACATGGGCAGCAAAATGAAGGGAAGCGCCCCGTTAACTGAAATGGTTTGGTGGGAAACTGGACAACGGAACATCCATTGCCCCATTCAGACCCCGGCTAGGGTCTTTTACTCGGCCCCCTAGAGCCCATCATCCCAGAGAAA